ACTAAATATCTTCACGGAACATGATCTTTACTTAATATCCTAATGATTTTTGGCATAAAAGAAAAATGTATAATTTTGACCCATACAATGTATTGTTGGCTATTTCTACAAATATGCTTGTGCTACCTAAGACTGGTTTTGTGCTCCAGGGTCACAAATGTCCCAGTCATATTTCACTCAAAATAAATAAGAATTATATTTTGCATTAAGAAAATTCTCATTACTCTAATGCATTAAAAATATTGGAATTGCACAACATTTACACGACTGTTGGGCTACCGTTAAATTATACTCATTTAAGTAAAAAAGTACAACAGTAATGCAGTCAAAAAAATTACTTTACTAACAATAATGACAATCTCCAGTGAGATTAACAAAACACCTATCATATTTCATTTTACACTAAAGACACTTGGTTAATGGTGTCTGTTTGTTCTGCTGCATTAGTTAATTGGTTTCCTAAGTAACCAGCATGCCACTAATTTGTCTAGTTAAGTCCTAAACATGTTCTCCTCAACCAGAGGCCAATCAGACACATTGATTTCCCTAGAATATCAGCCGTCTCCAACATATCATTTTGTCCGTCAGCTTTCCCCAAATCCCATTTATTGCTTTATTTTTTAAATTAACACCTTTTAAAACAAACAACACCTATATGACAACATTAAAATGAATAATTCTATTATCGAAAGGCAAAACACAGCATGTTCTTATTAGTACTTGATCAGTTCTCCTTCATTTCTACTCTGTGACTTGTGACCAGGTGCAGAACTCCTTAGCCAAGCAAGACACTTCCAGAATTATAAATCTAAATTGTTGTAAGTTTCTTACTTTGTAGAGCGTGGCACCACCATTTCTGAAAGAGTCTCGTAAGTGTGCTGCCAGTCAGCATAATTTGTTCTGAAGGGTTAGAAAACTTGCTGTCAGTATGTGCATGAGAAAAAATTTAACACAATAGGTTTGTGTGCATCCAAAAAGATGTTCAGAGAGGCTCATTTTTATGTTTTGGAATTAGGGCTGGGCGATATGGCAAAAAGTTAAATCTCTTTTTCCTGAAAATTTGACCAATTCTAGATTTTTTTTACATTAAACTTCTCAACATAAAAGCACACGTGATTTCAACATGGATTAAATGTCAAACAAATCACTTCTTAAATATCTTTGCAGAAAAGATGCATGAATTATGAAGGCACATATTGTACAAACTTATCTTAAACATATCATATGTTCAGAAATAATGTAAGAAAAATGCTAAAAAAAAGGGCAATTTGAAATAAATGAAAGTATAACACCAGTAGACCATTATTAAGTCTAAATGTTTTGTAAAAACAAAGAAAATACCAGCAGCTTTCAGCCTGTCAGCATCATGCAAACATGAAATATCAGACATACAATAGTAGTTCATTACAGGTTTTTCATTGCACTGCGCTGCTTTCCATTCTTTTTCCACGTGCTTGATGGCGTTTGACTGTTGTGTCTTTTGCAGTGTCTAGTGCATGAAATGGCATCCTAAAACACAGTGCTCAAGTTCAACTTCCGTCTCCTTGCTTTTTCCCCCATTCCGCTGCCCTATTCTCTGTGTGAATAGCACCATATGTTTTACGTATGGTCCTTCATAGAGTGTGTCACACGTGAGCAGTTCATCACATTCGCCCAATCATGCTGTTATCAATAGTTTATTGTCAACGTGTCTAATTCTTCTAACATTTGCTAAGAGTTCTATTCAAATTCTGATTCTTCGATTTATAAAAAATAAAATTGTGACAAAACATTACATTTGAATTCATCGATAAAATCGCACAGGTTCCAAATTTGGAATTTGTCACTTACTTTGGTACCACCACCAGCATAGTAATGAGGTACTCGGAATCAAGCACAAAGTTTTCTTTCTTGACAATATCTGCCAAACTCCTGGTCAGCAGGCTCCCTCTGGTGAGATGACAAAAATCACACTGGTTCATTGGAAAATGCTTCCCTAACCATGACTCTCAAAGTCATTCCTTTAATTGATTTTCTTAAAGGAGTAGTTCACCCAAACACTGAAATTATGACTATTTTGGACTACTTTTTTGGATTTGTCAGATGTATAAACGGTTATCTGGAAAAGAGCTCTGTGAATATTCTTTTAAAAATCTCGTGTTCCATGAAAAAAACCCCCCCTGAAATTTCCATTGTAAAAATTATTATTTATTTATTTTTGTAAGTGTTGCATCATATATTCAGTACTTATTCAATAAAAAAAAATAAAGAAATAAATCAATGCACTAAAACAAATAAATGGTGTCCAGGTTTCTATCTAAATCAGTGGTTCTCAACACGCATGCGGCCCGTCACGAATTCAAATGCGGCCCACCGTGCTGAACACAATTAAAAAGAAAATACTTTCAGTTTTACAATTAATTTTAGTTTTTACATTAATTTAAAAATGTACTAAATAAATATAAGATATAGCCTAATGTTTTTATGTAAAATAATTTTGTTTTTCCTATATTATTTTCAGACATGAGCATACATAGCCCAATTAACGTTACGCATTTAAAGTAACGACCAAGCGGCCAGCGGCAGACAGTAAGCTTATGTTTGATCAATTTAGCCTTCTCAAATCATCACGGCTTGACTAAAATAAAATCTATAGATATAAAACAGTTCAAGCATATAACAATGTTTAGACGTTAAACCTAGAAATGTGCGCTGTATCCAATCATTTGTGCGGAGAGTGGAAGCTGAAGCGCACTTTGCAGGACATAGAGACGCCAGCGCGATCACTTGTGTTTTTTTTCAGTGGATACGCCGTCATTTTTACTCATAAAGACAAGAGTAATACATCATATGTAACTGTAAAGGGTCTACTCTTATTTGTGTGCACTCACAATATCAACAAAACCTTGTGCTTTTATAAAATAAAGAAATCAAACATGATGCGCTTTCTGCCATCT